CAGCGTCCGGAAGGGAAGCAACACTAAAAGGTGTTTGTTCATCGTATCAGTATATGTACCGACCAATTGCAGTTCTGATACCCAAAAGGACGCTTTCTACTATGAACTCATCGATCTCATTCGAATGAGTGGAAGCTCCGACATAGTTGTGCTTACAGGCGACTTCAACGCGCAAGTTGCAAAACTGAGCGCATCGGAAGCTTGCTTAGGGGGTAGTTGTGCTCTGCCCTGCCAGCGAACAGATAACGGCGATCGACTTCTTCAGTTCTGCGCAGACCATCATCTGTTCCTATCCAGCACCAACTTCCGACACAGCTCGACGGATGTCAACGTGGCGTTCCAGTTCAACTGATACGCTAACTCAAATCGACCAGATCGCAGTAAGTTACCGTTGGCGTGGCTCAGTGCAAAATTGCAGGTCTTATTGGACCACTTGCCTTGAGCCTGACCACGCATTAGTTCTGATGCAGTTCACTCTCCGACTGACTGATCGGCGACAAAACCAGCAAGTTCGGATAGCTCATCAAGAACTATCTGCTCCAGCCGTTCGTGCACGCTATGAGTCAGAGCTAGTGCGTAAGCTAAGTGCGCTTCAGCGTGGTGATATAGACAAACAGTGGGATCAGATTAGGCGAGCAATGCATTCCGCAACGAATGTTGTTTGTGGGTCTGAGCCTCAAACCCATTTGACGTGAATAACAATATCTCCCCAGACACATCTATTTATGTTTGGAAATATCATTTTGAACGATTTGTTTCAGTTTTTTACAACCAGCAACCATGCATCTTAATGCGTCTAGTTTTGTTGCTGTCTTTTGGCTGCTCATTTGGTTAATAGAGCAGAGTCGCAGAGAAAATAGAGAATTCATATAGGCTGGTTGCAGTGATAATGAATAAATGGACGAACGCCACTGTTTGAGACACAGTCACATCACTCTGTGTCTCTAACCACCGGTTACCTTGATCTCGAGGTAGTCATATTTGAACAGTGTTACTAATCTGCTACTGAGATTTCGAAACCTTTTGTTGAAAAAGTGCTCAGTCTCATCGTTGATCTGACTGTTTTCTTTTTGCGTCCTCCAGATTTAATCAATATGGTGCGCTTCAGTTATCAGAACGATGGACCTCCACCCACTCGCACCTTCTATTCCGGTCAGGTAAGGAAATCACCTCAACGATTGGTACATATTTTAGCTAGTTTGTGACTCAAACAACAGGAATTTCTCATGGTGGGTATAGTCATACCCACAAATTTCATAAACGCCAACAGAATATTGTAGCACCCGTTGCTTTCTTTTATCTTATATTTGGCATTTTCTGGTTGCACTCAACGGTTCTCCATTCAGAAGCCCTCAGTTTCCGGTTAGTTCTACCAAATCGCGCCGCCTGAATTAATCATTAGTATAAGTAGCAACTTAGCTTGAAAATTGTCGCTCCATATTGTCCTTGTTCACTTTTGCTATGTTTACTTTCCGTTGCCATCTCTCAGATTAACAAACAATGGTTTATTTGTACCTTTCTCTTCTATTTTGATTGTTTTAGCAAGCGGTGCAAATCATTTTGATGATCATTGCCGTGATCAGTGTACCATGGATGCTTCTGACCAAACCGTTGATTCTGCTCATGCGTCATCGTGCCATTGCCAAAGTATGTCTAAGGTTTTTAAAATTTAATTTCCCTTTTGAGGTTTTTTAAGTGGGTTAAGAAATTATGATGATTGATTTCTGTCGCAGTTTCGTGGACTCCGGTTTTTTCAAGGCGCACATTTCACTAAACGGACTTGTGAGCGAAGATTTCAGTTAACTCCAAATTACACTTAAGCAGATCTTCGGATTCATACTAGTTTGGCGCAGTTCAGATGAAATGTGTAAGCCATACGGAGGTAGTCCAACGAACATATGGTAATGATTTGAAAGAGAAATGTTTGTTAAATCCAGTTGAAATCAGCCGCGTGACCAACTGTCGTCTACCGTACCATGCCTAATTCGCCGTTGGGTTTCCAGGTCGGAAAAGATCACATGGAGATCATGAGAGGGTGTGAAAATGAGTCATGAAGAAATGCACAGATCTGTTAGGTAGAGTTCATATATATATA